TCATTAAAAATAAGCCACCTAATGTAGAAAATGGTGATAAATAATGTGGATTAATAGCAAGGCCCAAACAATTTAACACACACACACACACACACACACGTGAAAAAACCTCTTGTTTTTTTTCCAGAAGTGGGCAGGGACTTGATGACGTGTGAGTGGGGAAAACGAAACCCAAGTGGGAGGGCAAAGGGCAGGAAATGAAAGCTGGAGCCTGTTGGCAGAGAAAACAAGCTGCAGAAAGCACCAGAAGGGCTTAAAGTGCTTTAGGATTTTTTATTTTTTAATTTTTTTTTTTAATTGCCTCACAAGAACTTTCATCTGCTTTCATGCCAGGAAAACCTTTGTGATGTAGGTCTGTAAACTTGTCTTCCTTCAGGATGAGCAGTTCTGTGAGAAAGGCTGGTGTTTGTCAGGCTAGTAGATAATATAAATTGATACAGATTTGGAGGGGGGGAAATCTGAACTGTACAACTGCACTTTGATTAATGAAACGATTTTTCTTTTACCTCTTGGTTGGGGACATAATATAGCATTTTGTCATTGGGATTTCTCTGTTTAAATGCTGGTTGTTGAGGGTTTTTTCCCTTTGTTTAAATTCAGTGAGTGAGACTGATTTGGGTTTTGTTCTCTGATGTATTTGCCTGTAGATGACTGACACCCAAAGACCAGAAAGCAAAGTTTCCACGCTGGAGTTGCCACAAAGTGAGTTTGTTTTTATTATTTGTCAAGTCTGAGTCGTTTCTTCCTCTGCTATTGCCATAACTACTACTCCAAAGAGCATCTGATGTTATTTTCACAACAGGAAGAGATCATGTTTCACATCTTTTCCTGTTACTCAGATCCTTCTTCTCTTCTGTATTTCTGTCCTAATTCCCTCGTGCTTTTGTAGTTTGAATCTCCTTGATGTGGCTGAATTCAAAATCGAAACTGGAACTAAAAAGTGAAAACTGAGTCACAGGCTAGGAATGCTTTCCCTCCTCCTGAGACAGGTTTGGGATCCGAAGGGATCTAAATTTAAGAGGAGTGTGTGGGTAGTTTCAATATTTACAGTTCATTTGTGATGGCTAAAGCTCCGTGTAGATCCATGAGAAAAGAAGTCTGCAGTTGGAGAGGGAAAATATTTGTCAGAGCAGATTTTTAGCTGTAAAGTTAAAGTTGGTGTGATTTATCGTTTATGTTTTTCTTTTTCCATGAATAAATCATTTTATGGAGAGAATTCCAACCCCCCAAAACTCCCACAGTGCCAGAGTTTCACTTTTCTGGAGTGAAAGTGAAGTGCAAGAAGTTCTGAGCTTCAAAGTGAAATCTTCTCCTAAATTTTTAGTTAGGAAATAAAAGGTTTTTATCACCTGCTCTGAAGTCTTTGGTGCCTGCCTGTGCTGTTCTTTGGGCTTGGCAAACTGAAATTCTCACCTGAAGAGGTGCCAAAATGCAGAGCACTTGAAAATTTGATTTTTAGGAAACCATTGAAGATGGTTTAAATATAATATTTAAAATGAGCAGTAGGAGAAGTGATCTTGCTCTTGTGGGCTTTGGTTGCCCCTGGAAGTGTCCAAGGCCAGGTTGGACAGGGCTTGGAGCATCCTGGGCTAGTGGAAGGTGTCCCTGCCCATGGCAGGGGGTGGCTCTGGGTGATGTTAAATGTTCCTTCCAAACCAAACCACTCTGTGATTCTGTGGCTCTGTGAAGAAACCATGAAGTGCTGAAGGAACTTGATGCAAAAAGCTTAAATTGGGGAGGGTTCTTAGAAAGGGGAAGTCAAGCTCTGGAAGACAAACCTGTTTTGGGGAACTACTCGTGGATGGTGCCAAGCAGCAAAACGCGAGATGGCACAGGGGAATTTTGGGGGGAGCTTGAAGGAAGTGACAAGTGAATCCAGGCATTTTGCTGAGCAAGAAGGTGTGGTCTGAATGCTGATGGAACCTGAGAATGTGTTATAAACCAGAGGTTTGTTGAGGCAGTGGAAGAGATGAGCAGCAGAGGGCCTGTGGCGGGACCCACCCGGTCAGTGATAACCACGGGATTATGAGGGATTCCTTGGCTCCAGGGAACTCCAGGGACATTTGGAGTTCTGCTCACCTGGCAGCAAGACCAAATCATGCCAATGCCTTTGGAATGTGGTAAGAGAGAGATCTGTTCATCCCCTTGGCTCCGCCAGCAATGTGGAGGTTTGGGAGAACCCCCTTTGCTTTTCTAAATTCCTTCTCCAGGAGGAGTCTGGGGGCAGTTGGATCCAAGTCTTAGTGACAGACCTGGACAATAGTTTATGTCTCAGGGTTTATAGAGGTGTAATTGGTCCTTTATACAACTTTGTCCCTCAGGATTAAGGATGGGAAACCAGATATATTTGTATGATTAATATAAATCCTGTATTTCAGTTGATGGTGATGATGGTTAGACTGAAGGACTTGAATCAGAGCTATCTGCTACACACTATAAATGGTTCTAACTGCTATTTTTTATTAAATCAATAAAAGCTAGCTAATAATTAAAATTTTCAGCCTGGAGAAGAGAAGGCTCCAGGGAGACCTTAAAGACCCCTTCCAGTGCCTAAAAGGGGCTTAACAGAAAGCTGGAGAGGGAC